CAAATTTGGGATTATTGGAAAAACAAAGGAAACTCTGGCGAATTTTCTGTAGAATTGGCAGATTTTAGGCGAACTTCGGGAGAGCATATCTCCCTCCATAGAGGTCCCCTAGGGACGTGCCATACGCCATTTTGAAGGTTGAGATGTCCTCTACCTTGTGCCAAAATTTGAGGAAATTCTGGGTTGATCTTCGGCCTGAAACAAATAGAGAAACACGGACTGCCCATGTGCCCCTGCACCTGAGGCAGATTCTGGACCGGATTTGGGAAATTAATTCCCGCATCGTTGCTTAGTCAAATTAAGCGTGTGATATATCAAAATGAAGTTTGAGATGTCTAGTTTGTAGGATAAAAATTTGAGAGCAAATGGTTGAATGGATTGAGTGCAGTAAATCGAGTAAGGTGAGTGGTTTGGAGCTGTTTTTGGGGTTGTTTGGCTATTTGCTGATCCAACTTCAAACGGCGATAACCGGAGCTAATGAGCTCCGAATTGAGCATATGATAGCTTTTTGAAAAGGGAATTAAGTAAAACAAAGATCTAATCCAAGAAGAAGGTTTGGTTGCGAGCGGTATGGTCGCAGAAAAATTAAGAGTGAAACATGTCCGAATAGGTAAAAACGTAAAGTTTGGAAATTGGCTAAGTGAGTTTATGGGAACTCCTTAGTAACTTATAATAAGTAATGTGAGTTATAAAAATAGTTTAAATAAGTCTTCCGCAAGAGTTTACAGTTACGGTCACAGCTTTTAATTATTACGCCTTTTTATGTTTTAAATGCTCGCGTAATAATCGAAAAAAGTTTATTCGCATTTTTATAAATGAACTGTTGTGATTGTAACTGCGCTTAATATCATAATTAATGTTAACAATACCGGTGTACAACGGGCTGTTACATACATGCATCGAATATGAACACTATACAACAATACATTTTTTTCTAAAAATACGTCTAAAATAAATAGTAGCCTCCAGCCACCCAGAACTCCACATCCTCATACTAGTACCTCTAGTCACGGTTTGTGTCCTTGTCCCATAAGGCTCTTCAATTAACTGTGTTCCTGAAATCATATCCCCAAACGGGGTTAGAGACGAATCTCTAGTAAACTCCAGGTTTATGGAAAACTCTCCATACCCTGGGCTCACTTCCTGCATGACAGTCAGATACATAATATACAGAACATCATATAAGCAATTATCATAACTAAACAAAACATATACACATATCTTATCAGAGACGTACGCAGTTATTCCCAAGATAGGACCCCAAGCGGAAATCAACGCACGTGTTCCCAAGAGAGGACCCCAAGCGGAACCAGAACATATTAGAGGCGTACGCAGTCATTCCCAAGGGAGGACCCCCAGCGGAAATCAACGCACGTGTTCCCAAGGGAGGACCCCAAGCGGAACCAGAACATATCAGAGGCGTACGCAGTCATTTCCAAGGGAGGACCCCAAGCGAAACCAGAACATATCAGAGGCGTACACCGTCAATCTCAGGGGAACCCAAGAAGACATCAGTGTACCATACAATCCATAGCCAAAGATCAATACAGAAATCATATCAAAACCAGTCATATAACAAATGTGTACACAGCCAATCCCAGGGGAGAACCCCAAGTGGGAATCAGTGTACGTGTTCCCAAGGGTGGACCCCAAGCGGAACTCAACAAAACATATCATATTAACACATATCAAAGTAAACACATCAAAACAAAACATATCATATTATCATATAGCTCTATATGAATGCATCTATATCATATATCTCATACATATCATACAACCCGACCACAGTCCGTACACTATGGCGGAACACAAAGTAGGAGCGAACCCCATAAACATAGAGCTTACCTCTTGAAGCTTTACCAATCTGCTCACTTGTAACATAAGTTACCTATTTAGCTCCAAAGGCAATTCAAACCCTCTTAGTCCCTAGCCACACCTAGAGAAAGAATTCAAAACAAAATCAATAAAATGCTACAATGCCATGAAATTCACACAAGGCATACATCTTATTGCTTACTTTCATTTTTTTACACTTATGCTAAATCTATGCCAATACCCAAGTCATATACTAATTCCTTTCAAACTTACATATAGAACCCCAAAGCTAGTTAGCATAAAACCACTAACTCTTTGTGGGCATTTCTCACTTTACATGGACTTATCATGTCCTCAACATAACTTACAAATCATAATTCCAAGTCCAATACGATTCCAACCCATTTACTTCTTTAAGGGTTGAAAATGACACATATAGATGTGTTCATGACAATTTCTCAAGCTATCTTTTGTTAGCAACCGTTCCCTTCATCACTACATCGAATATCCATCATCATCTCTTATTTAAATATCACCAAATACCTCATTTGTACCTATTTCATGATGAGGGAAGATTTGCACTCATAAGTGTTTATCATTTTTTTTTTCATGCTTTTCTTTCCTTTATTTCTCACTTCACATAACTCCAATTAAGTAGATAATCATTAACCAACCTCAAGACACATAAACACACATTCAAACATATTAAAGCATGATACTCCTTGTTCTTTTTCCTCTTGGCCAGAATACATATATATAGGAACAATGTATTTTTCTTTAACTTTCATCACTTTTACCAATCCTAATTCACACCACTTATCAATAATTACATACAAGGTATTATTTTCACTTTGGCATTTCATCAAACACTTGGTCTACCTCTTTTATTGTACATAGGCTGAATTATACATGAGAGGTAGGCCATCCATTTTCTCAAATTTCAACATCCATTCTCAATAACTTTTCAACTACTACGAACAACAATTCATCATCAATTTCAAATTCAAACTAAATTATTTCCCACCAAAATATGCTCACAATTATCAAGACTTAAATCACAAATATAGAACCATAGAATTAGAGGTTTCTTACCTATAGTTGCTATTCCAAGCTCCAAAGAACAAAACCTAAGCTTTGCTCACTTAAAAGCCCCAATTTTTCACAAGGATGAATAGTGCCACGAATTAGGGGTGATGAATAACTCTCTCCACAAGCCAAATCAGCCCAAATAAAGTGGTGGAATGGATTACTAGCCTTTTTCCTACAATTTTCATGTATGGCATCATGACTTTTGGTGACAAAATGAGTGAGAAAGAGAGGAGAGAGAGACAAAACTCTAACCTTCTAAAACCATGGAAATGTCGAGCACAGAGAGAAAAGGAGACGGGAACATCAGCGGCGGAAGGAGAAAAATAAAGGAATTGACGGTGTGTAAATTTAAGTTACTTTAGCTGGGTAATAACTTATCTATCTACACACCTCCATTCATTACCAAACTTTGCACACTAGTCCAGAATATTTATATGGTAATATTTATAATTTTACTTTTTACTTTCGGGTAACTTTATTTACTCGCATTTTTACTCCTTAACTGTCATTTTAACTCTTTTTTTACCAAAGGTGACTTTATTTCTTTTTCTCTATAATTATTCTTCAATATTAAATCTATAATTAAATGTGAGGGTCATTATATGTTTCGGCCTCACACATATTGTGGTTGAAGAGAGGAACAAATATTTAATTTTTTGTATTTTGACCTCTCATATATTAGAGAGAAACAAATGTTTAATTTTTAGCCCCTCACAGAAAAAATTCCTGGGTCCGCCACTTATGGACATGTAATATGCTAACAGGGTGGTCATAGAACAGGGTCCTATTCCATTGAAATATATAAAAAAAGTAAAAGCACAAGGAGTGTTCAAAAGCTTCCTGCAATTTTTCTCTCGTTAACAAATGATTGTAAAATCTTAAAAATTACATCATTGTGGCAAAAGGTATAACACTGATTGATCACATCATCAAGAAGACACCATTTTGCATTGTCCAAATTCAGCGTGCAAGATTTAAGTTGTCAATTAAGGTTCATCTCATTATGATGGAAACACTTGGTATTGTCATCGGGAGTTAGCCCTCGTCTCTCGTCAAACACCATGCTAGTTCAAGCCCAACTCGCGTGATTTTAATATTTTTGTTGTGCCAGTGGCCATGGCAGGAGACAACACCAATGAGTTAAATTACAATAATCATAGTAAGTAGATCTGATATCATATCTCAGTTTAAAATCTTAAAGCTTTTGATTTACGGGTTTTGTTAGAGAAATACAAAAAGATATAAAATAATTAGTTAAGTGTCACCCAACACCTTAAAGTTTTGAGATGAAATGACATTTATCATAATATCCTCACTATCCCCCACTTTAACGGGGTTTTGGGGCATAGAAGTTGCATAATTATGGGTTATGACCACTCACCATCCAAGTTGTCATTTTCGCTTGTTTGAGTACCAAGTGACATTCCATCATATATCAATTCAATTTTATTTTATTTTCTTTTTCAGGGAAAAAGAAAAATTAATTTCATTTTTTGGTTATATCACTACCATAACGCATTTGAAGAAAATCCTTAGACCATGTGGGTCATCAAAATTTTGTTGCGTATCACTGAAAAATTGTTTGATTGATCATTTTAAGCATATGATCTCGGTCACAACTCCATTCACCCATAATGGCGGGCGCAACATGCACCATTTTATGTAAAGGAGCTTTCAAACAACTGTAGAATAGTGGAAGGCATTTCAATCAGTATCCTAGAATCATAATCCAAGTATAGTCCACTATTTTCTTTTTCTAAAGTATTATCAATTGTAAATATTTACCCGCTTCAATCATTAACCTTGATGTAAAGTTCTTTTAATTAAAAAGAAAAAAGTCATTCTCTTTTTGGTAACTTGTTAAAATTGTCTTCTAGTAATACGAATCTTTCAGTTTTTGTAATAGCAATCTTTCCAAAGATGCTTCTCGTTTTAAATTTTTACAAAAACAAAGCATCTTGACTTATGTGCTAATCTTCATTCCCTTTTATATATTATAAGCGTTTAAGTGAACCTTATAACTCACCACCTTAGTACTTGATTTTCCTTCATCTCCATTGTTTTTGAGAAACCGCAATAACAAAACAAAAGAGATGTTGAATCTATTGAGAGAAGATTTAGTATTCTTAGTGCAGAACTATTATGACATAATCGTGGTTGCTTTACTCTCTATCGGAGTAGCATATTTCATTCCAAAAGCTTGGAAAAGAACTAGAAACAATGGAGAAGATATCCCTGGTCGGCTGGGATTACCTTTTATTGGGGAAACTTTTTCTTTTCTTTCAGCCACTAATAGTACAAGAGGATGCTATGATTTTATCAGACTTAGGCGATTGTGGTAAGTTACTTACTTTCATCTTAATATGTATAGATTCAAAGTGCTTTTGCTTACAAGTAGAATCTGTCCTTTACAATTCTTATCTGCTTTTCATCCTGAAGAGAACATGTTATGATTCATAACATACGTAAGGTCAAAAAGATCTGGTCTAGTGACTGATTCTTGTTTTTGCTTTCATTTGATTCTACACAACTAAAGGCTTTTAGAAGTTAGAACATATGGAAAGTAAGGGCTAATAACTCATGGCAAGGCATTGCATCATGTGCAAGATTTTAATTTATCATGCTGTACAGATTATAATGATCAAGTTCATTGTACAGTTGAATTTTTAGACTAAAATAAATTTCTCAGCATAGAGTGGAGTCAGTCGATGACGAGTCTTGGAGCAATAATAAAATTGTTTCTTTTGATCGAAAAGTTACACGGGTTCGAGTTTGAAAAACAACTTCTTTATAAAAATGTAAAGGTAACGCTACGTATAATTGACCCTTATCCCTACTCTCCCAAATCAGAGAGCCTTGTGCACTGGGGTTTGCCCTTTAGACCGAAGTCAAATAGAAAACCATCATTAACAGATGAATTGTTCTTTTGGTTTAAAAATTAAACATTATAATAAACTTGATTATGATCTAAATAATTCTTAGACCTAAATAATTATAAGCTGAATTTTTAGACCATAATCAAGTTTATGCTAAAGTCAAATTAAATTCTAGTAGATCAAAAAATAAATGGAGCCATGAACCGATAGAACACATTTAACTTGTTAATTTGATCGAAGTAGGAATGGGAGATGGTTCAAGACAAGGCTATTCGGCAAGATCCACATATTTGTTCCTAATAGTGAAGGTGCAAGGACGGTATTTGCTAATGACTTCGTTCTATTCAACAAGGGTTATCTGAAATCAATGGCAGATGCTGTGGGAAAGAAAAGCTTATTATGTGTACCAGTTGAGAGCCACAAAAGAATAAGGCGTCTTCTATCTGAACCATTCTCTTTGACTTCCCTATCTGCATTTGTCTCAAAATTTGACAAAATGTTGTGTGGAAGGCTGCAAAAGCTAGAAGAAAGTGGGAAAAGTTTCAAGGTGCTTGACTTCAGTATGAAGGTAAAAACGAAGTTTTCTACCCTTTTGTATGCTGTTTGTTTAGTAAGTATATTGGATCTTCTTCCGAGAGTGTTCAGCAGTTGCAACATTTAGATAGTAACAAAAATTTATTTACGAACATTATTTAATGCTATGACATATAATAACAATCTCAAGTTTAAGTATACTTCGTTGTACTCTGACTCCTAACTCCCGTTAACTGTTTGACATATAAAGATGACATTTGATGCAATGTGTGATATGCTGATGAGTATCACGGAGGATTCATTACTACAACAGATCGAGAAAGATTGCACTGCTGTCTCTGATGCCATGCTGTCCTTTCCTATCATGATTCCTGGAACCAGATACTATAAAGGCATAATGGTTAGTGATGTATTTACACAAATTTATGTTTTACAAGTTCCTTACAAACTATAAATAGTTGCATCTAAATTTATGTTTTACATGCCTTCTGTGAGTACCGATTTAATTTAAGAAACAACAAACAAGGAGTACTTTTTCCCCCCTGAAGTTTTATTATGCTAAATCAGGCTCGTAGAAGGCTCATGGAAACATTCAGAGAAATCATTGCCAGACGAAGGAGGGGAGATGAGTCTCCAGGGGACTTCCTACAGTCCATGTTGCAGAGAGATTCATTCCCAGCCAGTGAAAAGCTTGATGACTCAGAGATAATGGATAACCTGTTGACAATGATAATTGCTGGACAGAGCACAACATCAGCAGCAATGATGTGGAGTGTAAAGTTTCTACATGACAACAGAGAAGCACTGGACATACTCAGGGTGAGAAACTGCACAGATTCTAATGAAAATTATGCACCCAACAGAGCTAGATTTATCACCAGTCATAAGTGTTAGCATTATACTAAATAACAGAATAAGTATAGAATTTTCTATCTTGTTCAATATCATTATATAAGTATTATTTTGGTGATAGCTGTTAACAAACTTTCACTTTTTTTAATTTCTTGTGTTTTGCTTGGTTATAGAAAACCAAGCTCTCACTTGCAAGTTAAGATAAAATGACTAGTGTTCATTTTGACTTGCAGGAAGAACAATTGTCATTAACCAAAATGAAGCCAGAAGGAGCTTCACTTAACCATGAGGATCTCAACAAGATGCGTTATTGTTTGAAGGTTAGAATTTAGACTTGAGAAATACTGCATAAGCTGGAGGCAACCACACCTGAATATCTCAAATTTCATTGTAAGAATCTCTCCGTGTTCTCTCTAGGTAGTAAAGGAAACACTGAGAATGTCCAATGTCCTGTTGTGGTTTCCTCGTGTTGCACTTCAAGACTGCAAAATTGAAGGTAAATTACTCATATGCTTTGAAGATATCATTAGGAATATGTTTACATTAAATTGAGGTTTTTTTACCCTTGTAAGGCAAAATCAGAAACATTTTACTAGTTTAATTCCTTTGGCAAACTTTTTATCGATATCATCTCATATGTAATTTGTGCAAAAGTTAACTTACGCTTGCCATATGTTGCATTTCTTACAATGCGCATTATTCCCATGCACGTTCAAGTCGTACACTCCCTTGTCTTGCATGCATGACACACGCTAACTTTTACATAAGTCGTGTATGGGATGATGCATAACTTGAATGCACACCGCCACGTGTCTTTTTGCATTAAATTGCTAAATAATTTGTCAAAAAAAATTAAACTTTGAGTAGTTAATAATTCGATTTAATATGGGTAAAAAAAACCTTAAATTGAAGGGGCTTTGTTTATCATTAGTCTTTTTGGCTTCCATGACTATGTTGTTAACTATACGAGTGGCAATGACAGGGTATGATATAAAGAAAGGTTGGCACGTTAACATTGATGCAACTTTTGTCCATTATGACTCAGATTTGTACAAGGATCCGTTGAAATTCAACCCGCAAAGATTTGATGTATTTAGCTCTCTCTGTCTCTCTCTTATATTGGCTGTTTCTTTTTCATGATTGTTTTCTGCCATATCCTCATGTCAAGGAAATTATTTAACGTGATTATGTCCGCAGGAAATGCAAAAGCCCTATAGTTTCATGCCTTTTGGATCAGGGCCTAGGACATGCCTAGGGATCAATATGGCGAAAGTGACAATGTTGGTCTTTTTACACAGAGTCACAAGTGGTTACACGTGAGTATTTTCTGCCATGCCAAGATTTTCATCCCTCTTTTTTTTCCCTTGTATGAACGGATGAAAATGAAAATCTATTCATGCGTAGGTGGACCCTAGATGATTTGGATACATGCTTAGAAAAGAGTGCACACATACCTAGACTAAGAAGTGGCTGTCCAATAACGTTGAAGTCCTTAAGCAAAAGCATGCCAGAGGCATAAATGGGGAAGATTCACGAGACAAGGATTTCACAGTGTGAAGGCCAATGAACAATATGCAGCAGACAGCTGTGTGTATCTGAAAATTTATGAGACTCGAAGCAAATTGAATCGCAATAAATAAATATTGCAAGAATTATTGATGTATTAATCCATTTACTAAACTACTTTTGGGATTTAATAATCCTAATATATGGCTCGTATACGTTATATAAATTGAGTTAGGAAATAAATTCTAAAGATTATCTATGGCGGATGATGATTAATCTACAGTGGGAGAAATCATCATTAGAATAGACAGCTGCTAGTTAGAACAAAGTGTGTGAGGAGAGAAACCAGCCTCTTTATGTACTTGATGTGTACTAGGTTTAAATGAAACGATCACATTACATATAGGCAGAGAGCTATGGACTTCTCCTTGTGTTTGTGTTTGTAGTTAACCGTCTTCTTGTGTCTAAATATATGGGATTCTATATATCATGAAAAGCTCATACACAAGGCGCAATACTAATAATCCACACAAAATAGAGAAGTGCTTTATGAAGCCGAATTACATAAGTGGTCACTATTTGGGATAAAAAATGATATAAAATCACTCTCCGTTAAATCTCGATTAACGAAGATGGGGTGAGAAAAATCTTAATACATAGTCTTAACTTTGCATATTTGTAAAAAATATTCTCGGATTCAAAGCCATGACCTATCATACTCAAAGGAGTTGTTTTTCAATTACTCTAGGCTTTCCCTCTTAGGGATAAACAATGATATAATCCACATATTTTGACATGTGACTAAGGGAAATGCATTTGTCATGTTACATGACAAATGAATAGTTGTTATGTTCAGAAAAAGATAAAATAAATTCATTGAATAATGTGTCCTCTCACTTTTTTAATATTATATAATTTGTCTTTTTCATAACATAACAACTATTCATTTGTCATGTAACATGACAAATGCATTTCCCTATGACTATTATGAGTTTTACCAAAATAAAAATACTGATTATTCTAGTCCATAAATAATAATCTATCAATCTGCACTAGTATGTTTTGTGTTTCTATTCATAAGAATAATTCATGGCCAAGTCACTGCAAAATGAAAAGAAAAGATGGCTAAACAATCACACAAGAGGGGATATGTGAATTGTGAGTTACTTCTAATGCAAGAAACAATTCAAAATTCAACTCTTTATTAAGAATTTCAATCAAAACGAATTCAAACAGAGTATAAATCTATTTTCCAACACAAAATAGAATTAAAACAATTATAATAACACAAATTCAGAGGCAATAACAATGGATTCAAATGGGAAAGGAAAATATAGAAATTTCAATGTTTATGGCAACCCACTTCAAGAAAATATTCAAGAACGAATTAAAACATAAAAGTAATGATTCTCAACCCTCAAACAGATTCAATATAACATATACAAAGAATCAAAACGAAATTCAATTGATTAAAATCTAAAGAGTTAGGGTAAGGAAGAATGACACCAGCATATATCCTGGTTCACTTTCCAACCACTTGAGAGCTATGTCCAGACTGAGGTAGATTCGTTTCACTTCTAGCTTCCAACCGGTGCCAAAAAAACCGATTTACAAAGAGTTTTTACAAGTCTATGATTAACACCTTTGATCACACTCAACCTATCACCTATAGGTTCTTTCCAATTCATCAAAATTAAATACAACAATTCACTCTTGCCAAACAGATGTAGAGCAGTCTCTCCACGTCCAATACAATCAAAAAGATCAGAAAAAGATTAAGAAACATGAAAGTAGTTGAGCTTTTTCTCAAAGATGTTCAAAAGTAGGCCAATAGGGGTTCAATTCTTAATTCTCTGTTTTCTTGTGATTTGAATGTTAATTCTTATGTTCAGAACCTTAATAATATGTATTTATATGTGCCCAATAGAGTCAATAGCCTTTGAATATCTAAATATTTTAATTACTTAGAGTTTAAGTCACTTCTGACAACAAGTATTAGATTACTGTTCATCAGATATTCGAATACTTCTACAAAGCAGAAAGTATTCGATTACTTTTATGCAGGTGACAGCAAACAACTGGTTTTTCGAATTCAAATGCATCTATACGATTTTCAATGACTTCTAAATGATTCTAAGTGACTTCTATCCTATGTATGATCATGTCTCACACTTATATAACAATTCTTAAAGTGTGTGTGACCTTGTATGCATGATTGATAACTCTCCCAAATGAGAGTTAATTTGTTATTTTTATGATGAATTTGTTGCATAAATTCCATAGAAGTTAATCTCTTTGCATGATAAATGAGTTAAATGTTGCATATTTATGATTGAATGCTTTGAGATGACTAAGTATGGAAAATAAGACAATATTCCTTGATTTTGTGTAAGAAAAGATGACTTGTTAAGTGTTTGTCTTTGCAGGAAAAATAACGTAGGAATGTTGTAGCAGAGAAGCTGACGAAGCAATAACATAGCAAGCGCTACAACATGACAGCGTGGACAAGGGAACAACCGAACTTTTAAAATTCAAAAGTTAGTTAATTCTCAACAAACAGATAAGACACCAGCAAGCAAGGATCAAAGATGGTTTCAAAGATGTATTCTTATCCCAAAATCCCAAGGAACAAGGACAACAAACTCATATTCGGTCAACAACAATATTGGCACAAGAAATCCAAGAAGATCAAGATCTTATCCAAGCAAGTGCCAACGCCCAAGAATCTAGGGATACGATAAGGTTGCAGTAACATGATTCAGGGAATCTCACTCCTAACCCTAAAGCCAAATCATCCAACCAATTTTTCCTATTTAAAGAGGGGTCCCCCACAGATTAAAGAGAGTAGTTCACGACAGTTTACAACGGTTTGGAGGAGAGTTCAGAGAGGTTCAAGGTTCGAGAAGTCAGAAGCAAGTGGGGACATTTTAGAGAGAGAAAGTAAGGTTCTTGGAGAGGGAAGAGCTGCTGGAGCAGTGCTGGAGCAAGGCAGTGACGACATTTTCCTACAGCATTCGTTTTCATCTTCTTTTTTGTTTTCCAATGAGTTCTTCCTTTCTTTTCTCTATTTTATTTAATTCCATTATGAGCTAATTTGCTCTATAGGTTAGGTGATAAAGTACCTATGCTATAACATTGAGATGTATGCCTAAACTCTGTTTATGTTAATGTTTGATTAGTTATTCAACGAGTTTGCTTAAATCTTATTCATGTGTGCATGTCGAGAGATACATATGTGATATTGAGGAGGTTGGGGCCGAGAGGTTTTCGAATCCAGACCCTTGTTGAATTGTGTGGATTAATTAGGTTAATTACAACTTGATTACGTTATGGGTAGAGAGATCATTCACACCGCATAGCCTTGAACTTGAACTTGAACAATTCAGTGATTAGTTTGGCCATAGAGATGTGGGAATTAGTTATTGGGTATATATGTTAGGTTGGCTAAAAGCCCCAGCATACCTTAGTGTTCGGTTACTAGTTAAACATTGATATAACACTGTTAAAGCATCGTTTCAGTATTGCTGTATCAGGGAAATTGAACCTGACCTATATCTCATCCATCATCTTAATACCTATTATTTTAGTTTACTGTTTTCTTCGTTTTAATTGTCTTTTAAAAATTCAATCATCAAAATCATTCTTTTACCTACTTTCTTTACTTAAATAATCATTACTTTACACTTATCTCCGTGGGAACGATACTTGGACTCACACATCCCTTTATTACTTGTGACACGTGCACTTGCGTATTTGTGTGATTGATTTAATTGATTGCAAATTGCACAATAAGTTTTTGGCGTCGTTGCCGGGGATAATTATAAAGTTGTTTTTATTTTAGTGAAGAATTTTATTTCTTTTATATCCTTTACCTTTCCCTTGACTGTTTTCAAGGTGCTAATTGCAGCGTATGAGCAGTTCTTTATCAGAGCAAGAAGCAGATTTTGATCCTGAGATTGAAAGAACGTTTCGATCAAGAAGGAGACAAAAAAGACGCAGCAACTCTACAACAATACCTAACATGGCAGAAAGGCTGAGAAACGGTGAAGAGGATGGACCTGGACATAACAATGAAGGTCCAAATCAGGATGAGATTCCAATCAGAGCGCATGCAATTCCTACGCTCAACAATCTGTATTCTGGAATCGTTCAACCTGATGTAGCAGCAGAACACTTCGAGCTGAAGCCAGTGATGTTTAACATGATGCAGACCATTGGTCAGTTCAATGGACTGTCTAGTGAAGACCCTCACCTTCACCTCAAGAACTTTATGGATGTAGTAGACACTTTCAAGATCAGAGGAGTTACATCCAATGTTCTGAAGCTAAAGTTGTTCACATATTCCCTCGCCAACAAAGCTAAAGCTTGGTTGAACACTTTACAACCACAATCAATCCGAAGCTGGGAGGAGTTGGCGGACAAGTTCTTATTAAAGTTCTTCCCTCCCATGAAGGCAGCCCAGTACAGAAATGATATATCAACCTTCAAGTAATTGCAAGAAGAGTCATTCTATGAGGCTTGGGAGAAATTCAAGGATCTGTTGAGGAAGTGCCCAAACCATGGCATTCCCGAATGGATTCAAATGGAGACATTCTATAATGGACTCAATGGACCAACAAAGAGCATGGTCGATGCATCATCTGGAGGAGCCCTTTTAGAAAAGACATATATAGAAGCATATGCAATATTGGAGAGAATGGCAGTCAATAACTATCAGTAGCATGTGGAAAGATCAAGTTCAACACCAAAGAAGGCTGCTGGAGTTTTGGAACTTGATGCTGTAACTGCACTATCAGCACAGATTTCAGCTTTAAACAACTCTATCAACACGATGAATCTGTCTACTGAAGCTAAAGCACAACCAGTCAATGCCATAACTGATGCTATATCATGTGTTTTCTGTAATGGTCCCCATGTTTATGATAACTGTCAACAAAACCCTCAATCTGTTTGTTTTATAGGTAATTTCAACATGAACAACAATACATACTCAAATACCTACAATCCCGGAAGGAGGAATCACCCAAATTGTTCCTATTCTAAAGGACAACAACATGGACAACAGCAAGGACAACATCAAATGTCCTCAGATACAACAGGAAGGTCATATAAAGCTCCATACCCTCCCAGATTCACACAGCAACAGCATCAACCCAGACAGCAAG